TCCACCCTGGCTTGATTGCTTTCTGCTTACACAGCCTGAAGAGGACTCAGCGCCATTTCCTTTCTCTCCCCTGGGGCAGCTAGTGAGCCTTAAGGGCGCATGAGAGGAAGTTCATGCTCCAGCGCACCCTTTTTCTGCTACTGCGGCCAGAGGCTTACTGACTGCCCCTTTTGGCCTGCCTGAGCCTCACTCTGCCTGGCAACCCAGGGCCTGGTGGGCAGTAGGCTTGGCCGGAGGGAGGCGATGGTACCTATTCGGCACTGCCTGCTTCTTCTGTGGCTGGGTTGGGACGCGGCTGCCAGAGCGCAGGAGGAATCGGCGCAAGTTGTCCGGGCCACAGGTGGGTCTCACAGGAAAACAGAGAAAAGATGGGGGCTGGGCTGAACGAGGAGGCACCTCTCCGACATGCGCAAGCAGGGAGGAGTTGGGGAGAAGCCAAGAAGGGTAGCAATAATGAAATGGCAGCATAAGAAAGAATACCACTGAGCCTGCGTTGAATGCTTTCACCTCACCATGGCTATCTAGGATTAGTGGGCGGGCAAGTTTCCAGATTGGAATGAATGGTTTTCAGGAAGGGCTGAGTCCAAAACCCTCCTAGGGAAGCCCATTCTGGGGATAGGGTAGCCACTTCCAGCTTGAGGCGTTCCTGGAGATTTGGGGTTAGTACCTGGGGATGATGGAGTTTGGAAAGTGAAGAAACTTGGCAGGGATGTGGTGCCATAGAATCTGCCCTCCAAAGCTGCTGTTTCTGGCAGGGGAAACAATCTATATGGTCTGAAGATCAGCTGTAATTTTGAGAGAACTCCAGGTCCCACCTGTAGATTGGCAACCCCAGGTGAGGAAGGGGGAGGGCTGCAGGATTAGGCACGGTTGTCTTAAACGGGTAGCCGCTCAGTTTAAGCAAGACACTGTGCGAGCACAAAATCCCCTGGTGGAGATATTTTATCACCCATGTCACATTTGGTCTTTAAGGTGCCTTATGGTCTAGAAGTAGGGTTGCCAGCTCCAGGTTGGGAAATACCTGGAGATTTGGGGGTGGAGCCTCAGGAGGGCAGGATTTGGGGCAAAATGCCATAGAGTCCAACTTCCAAAGCAGCCATTTCCTCCAGGTGAACTGATCTCAGTTGCCTGAAGATCAGTTGTAGTAGCAGGAGATGTCCAGCCACTACCTGGAGGTTGAGGAAATCTAAAAACAACATTCGTGACAAAAATAACAGAGTCAATAGATATGTTGCAAAATCATTTACTGTAGTAATTCTGTAGAAAGTTCTCTCCTATTATCGCTCTCACACAAGGAATGCTGCGCAATGTAAACAATTCGTTTCACAATAATTGCTTTATCTGAGCGTGTAGCAATCACAATACTTATCAATTACTACTTATCAACTCTTGAAGGAAACATTCCAGACTTTGGGTTCTGTTATTAGAGGGTCAACATGGAATGTTTCCTTCATGAGTTGATAAGTAGTAATCAGTGTTCCCTCTAAGCTGAGTTAGTGTGATCTAGCTCACAGTTTTTTTAGCCTCCGGCTCACACATTTTTGTCTTAGCTCAGGAACGATGGCTCCAGAGCAAACTAATTTAAGCAGTAGCCAAATCGCTCGCTCACAACTTTAATGCCAGTAGCTCACAAAATAGAATTTTTGCTCACAGGACTCCATAGTTTAGAGGGAACACTGGTAGTAATTGATAAGATTTGTAATTGCTACACACTCAGAGTGTCACATGTATGACTATCTGCCCACTGAACAGAAGTCTTGGGTGTGTGCCTGCTGCAAGGAGCTCCTGGTTCTCAGGGAACGAGTTTGCTCCCTTGAGGCCAAGGTGGCAGACCTGGAGAAGCAGAGACAGTCAATTAGGTGCATGGATAAGACTCTCTGGGACTTGTTAGATATGTCCCACTCTGAATATGGCAGCCCCGCCACTGTCAGGGAGCATGAGGGTCAAGAGGAAACAGGGCACTGTGCTGCAGATAAGGGGAATGTGCCCTCAGAAGGGACCTCTTCTTCAGCTGGTGAACGGGTATCCTTTCGCACCAGGGATACCTGGCAGGGAGGGAGGGGGGCTCTTGGTAGGTGGTGATTTGACCCTTAGGCAGGTAGACAGCTGGGTGGCGAACCCACGTACTGACTGTATGGTGACTTGCCTGCCTGATGTGAAGGTAGCGGACATTACATTTGTTCTAGATAGGCTGGTAGATAGTGCTGGGGAGGAGCCAGTGGTCGTGGTACATGTTTGCACCAACGATGTGGGGAGATGCAGTTGTGAGGTCCTGGAGGAAAAATTTAGGCT